AAAAATACTGAAAAAAAATATACACACACACACTATATATATATATATATATATATATATATATATATATATATAATGGTTCTCCCAAAATTATTAAGCAGCAGTTATTATTATCAATGTTTATTAAGGCACCAAATTAGCATTAAGCATCTTGTGACACTGAAGATTGGAGTAATGGCTACCACTTTCACTACTTAACATATACACTACTGTTCAAAAGTTTGGAGTCAGAAAGTTTTTTTTTTTAAAGAAATAAATACTTATGTTCAGCAATGATGCATTCAATTGTTTAAAAGTGACAGTAAAGATAATAAATAATGTTCTTTTCAACTTATTCATCAAAAAATCCTGAAAAAAAATATACACACACACACTATATATATATATATATATATATATATATATATATATATATAATGGTTCTCCCAAAATTATTAAGCAGCAGTTATTATTATCAATGTTTATTAAGGCACCAAATTAGCATTAAGCATCTTGTGACACTGAAGATTGGAGTAATGGCTACTGAAAATTCAGCTTTGTCATCACAGGAATAAATTGCATTTTAAAAAATATATTAAAATAGAATAGTTATTTTAAATTGCAATAATATTTCACAATATTACTGTTTTTGCTGTTTTTTTAAAATTAAATAAATGCAGCCATGGTAAGAAAAAAAGACTTATTTCAAAAACATGAAATAAATCTTACTGACCCCAAGATTTTGAACAATTATGTATTGCACATACTTTGGTTCAGGAATTTGAACAAACCACTGAGCCTGAGTATTGAAATTTGACCTGTGATTCATCCCCCACCATTTGTGCTACAGAAATGAATGATAGCTCAAGTCATGTGGTTTGTTGAGTAGAGGTCAGTTTTGTTTGCTGCCTTATTCTTTTATGTTTCTCTCCTTTTTTTTTTTTTTTTTTGGCTGTCCTTTACGCTCTTGTGTGTTTCCTGTTGTTCATTATTCTCAATGTTCGGTTGTTTGCTTTCCTCAGCTCTTCCAGCATTGCCGGCTGGTGCAAAGGATTCTGGGTGCTTGGGAGGAAAATGACAAAATCCAGTAAGAGCCTCTCATCTATTTGCTGTTATTGATTTATAAGCAGTGGGTCTCTAACACATGTGTGATATTCCAATGAAGCTCATCTTGATATCCTTTGTTGTGTCCATATGTTTGTTGTCTGTCTGTTTGTTTCTGCTTTTGGCTGATTGTAGTTTCTCTACCTTAATCTCCAGGGCTGAAGGGGGAAGGCGGAGGGGAAATATGGGTCACCTGACAAGAATTGCAAACACTGTGGTTCAAAACCTGGAGAAGGGGCTGGCTCACTCTCAAATTAGTGACCTAATTAAAGGTTTGTTGTGCAGGAATATGTCAAAAGAGCTATGAAATAATGATGCCTGAAATAGGAGGGTGATTACTGAGATCATAATCACTTGTATATCCACAGAGCTGCCAGAGGACTGCAGAGGCCGCTGGGAGAGTTTTGTGGGTGAGACCCTGAGAGAGACCAACAGGAGAAACACCGTGGATTTGGTGAGGAAAGCATTTACACAAATTTCATTGCATTTATTGCACAGATGAATAATATTGGATAAGTTATTAAAATGTAGTCAATGTAATGATCATGTCTCTTTTTTTTTTTTCTTCTTTCTAAAAAAAAAAAAGCAAAAAACAAATCCCGCACACTATCTATGCAAAAAATATTTATTGACTACGTTTCGGTCGCATGACCTTCATCAGGAATTTTTTTTTCCTTTTCTTTCAAAATATGTTAAGAGAGTTACAAGTGTGTTTACTGCAATAGATGATAAAAGTAAATATTTCAGAGATGCTTGGATATTCTCCGTTTTCATCATAAAAAGATGGTCAAAATGGCTCTAAAACTGGTTCACTTTAGAGGAAATCAGTTATCAGGGTTCATTATGAACTTTTTTTAATGTGTTTTTTTTTTAGTCACTTTCATTCTGAGAATGTTACATTGTTTGATGCTGATTTCTGATTGGTTCTTATCCTGTGTTCCAGGTCAGCACCCATAACTTACACTCATCTAGTGAAGATGATGACATGGAGAGCCCCTTCCCCAATGATCTGTCCATCCAACAGGTTAGAAACAACAAATAAATAGCCAGCATGAGTCTGCTTTAATTTCCTTACAGCTGATTGGAAAACATTTAAGGATTTTTTTCTTTTCTTTTTTTTACATTCAGGCATTCTCTGATTACCAGATTCAGCAGATGACTGCCAACTTTGTGGATCAGTTTGGTTTTAATGATGAGGAGTTCAGTGAACATGATGAAAATATCAAGTGAGTGCTATATATAAATGTTTCTCATATCTAGTGGTGGTAAGTGTTGCCATTTATATCAGAATGCTACAGAGACATGGACTGATGTACAGTGATATGTTTTTGTGGTAAAGATTGTCAGTATGATCTTTGAGAGACCTCTTTATATCTTGCAGTGCTGCATTCGATCGAATTGCTGAAATTAACTTCAATATAGATGCAGATGATCATAGTGTAAGTGTCTGAAAACACTGTCCATTATTCAAATGATCATTTAGTCCAGTAGTAAGTGTTTGTTTTGATGCTTTATTTGGATTGTTGTGCTCCTTTAGGCTAATGCTGCAGCGTTTGAAGCGTGTTGTAAAGAAAGAATCCAGCAGTTCGATGACTGTGAGGAAGAGGAGGATATTTGGGATGAAAAAGAAATAAACTATGCAACACAAATCAAAGCCAGATCGAGGTACAGCACATGGATGATATGCTTGAGGAAATAGATTCTCCTGTTTTGTTTATTGAATTCACATTCTCTATTTATTCTTTCCAGGTTCGGGGTGTCTCTTTCTTCAGATGGTTCACCCAAGAGTGCTGTGAGGAATGGGGGTGGAGGCCGCGGGTCGGCCTCTGAGGAAGAGGATGTTGAGGAAGAGGCCAGTCCTCAGCAGTCTGCAGCATCTCAGACTCAAAGTGAGTGCTACAACATCACCCACGACTCTGAATCTTTCAGGTGAATTTATTCACTGAACATCATTTGTGTTTGTGCACAGATCCAGGCTGGACGGCGAGTTTTGGCGAGACAGAGGTGAGCTCCTCTAGCGCCTGGGGTGGTTCCCCTCAGCAGGACGGTGAGGGTCCGCAGGACACAAGCTGGGCATCTTTCACTGAGTTCCAGCCTTTCAGCAGGTTAAGAACACTCTGTTTTAAAGAGAGTTGTATAATGCTGCATACGACACTGTTTTGGAATGTTTGTTAAAGTGAGGAAATATTGGTTGGTTTGGATGTTTAAATTATGGGAATACTTTTATCTGTGCTGATCCATTTGCTTTTACACTACAGCACAGAGTCCAGCCAGACTGAGGGACAACCTCAACAAGGCCAAGAGAAAAAATGTGAGTATGCGGTGTTTGTGTCTGTCTGAATATTAACTCTGTTAATAGACAACGTGGGAAGTAGTCGTTTACTGACAGTTTTCACCAAGATTTCTGTATTAAATTTACCTGATGAAATGTTTAAAGTGGTACTATCTTGGGGAATCACATATTTCTTGATCTTTAGAGTACTTTGAAAACATACTGTAACTTCTAGAACTCAAAACTTCCTATTTAGAAATGCATCAATCTAAAGTCCTTGACATCAGAAACTCCAAAACATTAACAAATAACTGCCTACATATACATGGCAATGGCATGGTGCATTAATATGGATAAGGTAAATTCACTAGAAAAACTAAGAGGGTTGACATTTTGTTTTGTTGTTTTATTTTTTATTTTATTTTTTTGCAGTGGCTGGCAGTGGTTCGGCTACTGGAGCGTGTGAAGGAAGTCCTGGGCAAAAAGCTCCTCTGGTGGGCTCAGACAGCAGCTCGTCTGGAGGTTCAGACAGTGAAGAGGACCCTGGAGAAAATAAGACAGAGGGTTCCCCTAAAACACCTGCCAACCAGACAACAGCACCCATGAGGTAAGAACATTAGTGCATTACAGTGTTTTAATGTAGTTCCAGGGGAAAAAAAAGGTTTCTCATGACTTCAGGAAGGGAATAATATTCTAATTTTTAATCGATGACAGAAGACCTGTTGTGTGATGATCGTTTAGTTATGCTCTCTAAACAAACCACTTAAAGGGGAGAAAAATATGACAGACCAGACTGAAAAGGGAATCCCATTCGGGATCTTCCCTATATCAAAGAACATTCATGACTCATGGTGCGGTCACGTTTACTGTAGATTGGGAAAATTTCACAGATAAAATTCAGTGATTTCAATAAGAATCAATGCAGTTGGAAATTTTGTTAGGGTGAAAGATTTTGCAGGGTTCGAATTGGTTGTGAATTTGCCCTCTTGACCAACAAAAGCTGCTTGGTTTGAAAGTGACTTTGTTGTCATGTTTCATACAGGGCTACACTATTGACTGTGGATGTTTTTTTTTTCTACAAAATTTTGCTAATGTGACTGCACTTTTAGAATGACACTTAATCTACTGGTCCAAAAAATTCAATCAAGTTTTGATTGATTTAAAGGGATAGGTCACCCAAAAATGAAAATTACCCCATGATTAACTCACCCTCAAGCCATCCTAGGTGTATATGACTTTCTTCTTTCAGACGAACACAATCGGAGTTATATTCAAAAATGTCCTGGCTCTTCCAAGCTTTATAATGGCAGTGAATGGAGGTTGAGATTTTGAAGCCCAAAAAAGTGCATCCATCCATCATAAAAGTGCTCCACACGGCTCCAGGGGGTTAATAAAGGCCTTCTGAAGCGAATCGATACATTTGTGTAAGAAAAATATCCATATGTAAAACTTTATAAACCGTAATCTCTAGTTTCCGGAATTAGAGATTAGAGTTTATAAAGTTTTAAATATGGATATTTTTCTTACACAAACACACCGCTTCAGAAGGCCTTTATTAGCCGTGTGGAGCACTTTTATGATGGATGGATGCACTTTTTTGGACTTCAAAATCTCGACACCCCATTCATTGCCATTATAAAGCTTGGAAGAGCCAGGGCATTTTTTAAAATACAACTCTTGATTGTATTCGTCTGAAAGAAGAAAGTCGTATACACCTAGAATGGATTGAGGGTGAGTAAATCATGGGGTAATTTTCATTTTTGGGTGAACTATCCCTTTAATGATGAAGAGTGATCACTTTCAGTGTTGTACTTGTGAAAGCAATTTTGATTCTGTAAAGATGTAAAAGTATTTATTGGTAAACGTTTGTACTGCACTCTTTTCTGTGCAGCGAGGTGCCTACTGAAGCTCTGGAGAAGCTCAGCATCACAGACAATAGCGAGTCTTCAGTGCCTACAGAAGAGTCGGAGGCCACCACTGTGATGGAGATGAGGTAATAGTGAATGTGTATCAACCAGATGTTATATGATGCATAAAAAGTGCCCTCCGCCCTCTCTTACCCTCTTTTACTCTCTCTTATGCCTCTATAGAGTTGAAACACCTTCTTCAGCTGAGATCACACCTAATGGACCGGTCTGAAGCCTCTGGATAGGAGTCCGACCCACTCTCCGCCTCTTCCATTCTGAACCCCCAAACCTCAATACCACTTTTGGTGTTTTAATAAAGAATGCTGCCATGTTATTGGTCCTGGATACTGCCAATCAGCCCATAATTGGAGGAGGAAGCCAGGGGCATATAACACGAACCAGTAACCAGTACAGTGCTCAGAGGTGTTAGTCTTTTAATCCTTTCAACTTTGTATGAGATATGCACAGTTTTAAATGTAGCAGTGACCGTGTGATTACAGGATCTGTCAGGACTTCTTTTTTCTTCAGTTTGTGTCCCTCTCTTAGTTTTTCTGGATCAGTTTTTTCACGCTCAGCCTTGGATGGTAGGAAACAGGGATGTGAAGGTCCTAATTGGAAAGCACAGGCTCATCCTTCACAGCATAATGTCTTGAACATCCTCATGCAAAATCGAAAGCCTTGTTGCCTGACAACAGCCTCTGCAACAATTTACTGTATGTTGAAGCACAACTGAAATGTTCTGTAATGCTTGACACATTTCTGCACAGGTCACCGCCCCACCAAGTTCACTTTTAAGATTTAAAAAAAAAAAAACTTTATTATGGCCTAATCTTATTAAATCATGTATTTGAATGTTCTGAAGTGCTTTGGGGCGGAAATGAATGACTTGATACTCTGACATGGTGTTCACGATGGC